GAGGCCCATACAGGCCTGAGGCTATGAAAGAGACGGCGGCGCTACATGGCTGTTGTCCATTACATGGTCCGCAATTACAGGGCGCTGTGCGGATGTTTGGTGATCTGCATAAGGGGATTTGATTCGATTACTTGAAGTACCGACTGGATCGGTAGTCGGTACTAGTGGTGTCATTCGGAACTTGAATCTTCGGAATTCCGATTTTGTCCAATGTCCAATTCGGAATTCGGTTGGACAATGACAGCAGGCTTTGGACAACTTTGGTCAATCGCTTGCTCATTTTTATAAAGTAATCGTGTTTAACATTGATTGGCTATTAGAAAGCTCAGCTTTCGATATGATTAACACTTTTGAGCTGGTAACAGTACATTAAAAGCAAGTTAAATAACGGTGTTGAGTGTAACCTATTGCGTAGATGTCTGACATCGTTGGACAAATAGCTGACTTGGACATTTTTGGACGGACAGTCGACGTAAGTATTGGACATCGGACGGACATTGGACATACGTTTTCTGAAATTGACACCACTAGTCGGTACACAAGTCTGTGTTACGAGTGAAACGCCCAGGCCCGAGGGACCGCAGGAATCACGAACACTGTCGAATGAGCACGAGCAACTCGGCGCACACAACAACGCCGAAGGTGTTTGATTTGTATTCATCGTGCATACTTTCACATTCTGCTGATAGCCCAGGGCTCAGGCAGGTCCGTGTGGAGTGGAGTGAAGCTCTAGGCATTTCACCAGTACGGCTCCCGCGGCTGTCGTGGGACGGCTGTGGACCCGCCAGCGGAGTTGTATATAATGTACTATCCTGCGGCTCCCGGGTCTCCGGAGAGGACCTTGGAGAGGCGGCCTTCAGGTCCGCCATGACTGCGCCTCAGGCTGATTGGGCGGCTGCCACATAAGGCAGTTTTTCATCAGCGAACGGCGGGGTAGTTAATCACATGGCTCACAAACTGGTACTGTCAGGTGGTGTTACTTCTCCTCTGATAGCGCCGGTAACGTAATAGGCTGTAAACGGGCTCAGTAAATCATGTCAGTGTAATGTGACAACCCATCTGTAAAACATGTCGGTTGTTGAGCTGCTGATAAACTCGAGGCATTTAACCCGGCAGTATTTGATAGTGAGGTCATGAGACCTCGTCTGCACGGCCGGCCTCTCATGAAAACTATCCGAGAGTTATCACTCACATGACCTTTCATCAGAACGTTTTTCGTGCTTCTACGTCCACTGTTATGTTGAGTTCAAAGCTGAGGTGCCTATGCAGCGGTAGCGCTGCACCTCATGCCATTTTTGTTCGTAGCGACGTCCGCATCCATCGCTCGCTTCCTCAGCGCATATATATTATACATATGTATATTTATATTATATATATTTATATATTATTATATATTTATATTATATTGTATTATACATATGTATATTTTGTTTGATCTCCTGGCAGCGGCCGAGCACCTCTCGATCTGAAGTGTCCGCTATGCTACCGGCGTCGCCGATATCTCATCAGCTCTTCTCAGCCGTTATCTGTCATTCTCCTGCACTTATCCGCAGGCGGTATCTACCTCCGGCTCTCTGATATCTCAGTGATGTGCTCAAACTCGTCCTGCCATCAAATTGGCAGGACGAGTTTGTCATCGCAACAATCTCCAGTAACTCGAGTAACTCTCCATGAACATCCATCGCAACAGCCTCCAGTAACTTCACTGATTCCCACAGGCATATAACCTGATGACTACGCTGGGGTCGGCACTATCTCTGAGATAGAAATAACGCTGCAAGACGGAACTCCTCAATCGGGTCGACTAACAACGCGCTAGGTGCCGCCCCGTCCGACCAATTCACCTTATCATCCACTAACGACGTTTGTACACTTCTTCAGTCATCCTCCCGTCCGTGACATTCAAATTTGGCGGTCTGTTTGTAGAGATCCTGCAAGGCGGCCACTCTTTGTGCCATTCTGCTGCATTAAATTGCATTGTGCTATAATTGCAGGACCGTCCGTCCGCTGGCACCCCTCCCTCCCTGTGCAATACGGCCTCCTGACTGCACCCCTTCCTCCCTCCTCGTGCAGTGCACTTCCGACCGACATGACCAGTCGTCCGGCGCCGCGCCGGAAGTCACGCTACTGGCCGGTGCCGTGGGTACGTCCCGGCACGCGCCGACCGGATACATCGCCCTCAGGGGCCCGGCAGCGGCGGCGGCCGAGTGTTGCAGACTTGGGAACCACCCCCAGGAGCATACGGCACCGCGCCGCCGTCCGCTGCCGCCGCCGCGGGCACTGCCGGGACCCGTGGCGGTGATTGGTGGTTTTACTGCGGCCGTGGGTGTGGTGTGTTTCATTTCGTGGACTGCCCGCACGGTAGCGGTGGAATGAGCAGCATGTGGCCAATTAGCGGTGACGTAGTGGGTTCAATATTAATCAGACGCCGACTGAGCTGCCTGTGGAGATGGCCACTGGTCAGGTCAGGTGTTGGTAGGGAAATGAGGAGGATGGTACCTTGCATCCACTGATTTGTTAGATATGTGGTGTTCGACTGAAAAGCATCTGCTTCACGAGTCAGACCTGATGTTCGCGTTGTGGTCTCCTTTCGGTCGCTTGGCTGGTCGGTCGGTGGCCTGTAGCGTCTGAAATGGGCCCGGCACGGTGTTGATGACCGACGGCAATGTCAGCTAATGGTCAAATTGAACAGTCCCGAACGTGGTCTGCTCCCGGAACTGCCATTATCGACGGTCGAACTTGGCATTCAGATGAATAAGCAGCCAATAGTCGGCAATAAAACACATTCATGCCGTTCTCGGATAGGGCGACAGCTGTTTGATAGACCTGTTAGTTTGATCAAATGGCTCCGTGATTGGGTTGGACTTGGTTATACCGTGTAGTTAGTCGCATAGATCAACATTGGTATTTGGGGAAGACCGTAGAAGCCAACGCTGAGCTGCCTTCCGTGACCTGTCATTGACACGACAGGCTCGATCCAAACTGTCCTGGCTCTGCCAGTTGTATGGTATCTGCACCGAGTCGAGCTTTTCCGTATTTTATTGTCTTGACCTGACGCCCTGAGGAGTCCCTCCACCGAGCCCATCTGTCCCAGTCTCCCTATCGCTCATATCCAACACGGCACCAGTGGCGGATAGCCGGCACCTCCGCCGACCTGACCCGCCGCCCGGCACATCTCCCGAGACCCAGCGAGCGTCTGCCGCCGTCAGCCGTCCGTGTGACCCGCCCGCGGCTCTAACGGTGTCCGTCTCTGGCCACGCAGCTCCGTCTCTCCGCGGCAGACCCAGCAGGCGCCGACACGCACGATACGGGCTGACGCCGTACCCGTGTGTGCATGTGTTTTGTGTGTGTTTGTGTGTGTGTGCTACGAGACTGTTCGTCGGTCGTTGTCCACAGTCACCCGTAGTATATGTGAACTGACCCGAACCGACCGACCGAAGACGTCCGTCTGACCAACTACACACCACTATACACGTTCCCCCATGTCCAACACCATTGACTGCTGCTTCTGACCACTGACCACTGCCTTGTGACTAGTGATGTCTGACCACTGACCACGGCTCACCGAATGTTTGACGTAAACCACCGAACCAGAAACCACCCTACCGCCACCCGTTCCGTACTCACTCTGACCACTGACTGGGCTGGTTAGCTACCAGTTACGATTACACATACCAGCTACCTATCGGCGTGTATATACCTCGCCAGCGGGCTATCTGAGGTGCCGTTTCAGCCTATCAAATCTCTGCACGGCGGTCAGCCGGTGGAATTTAGCAGCAGTCGCACCCCTGGCCGCTGCCGGTGACACGCCAGTTCTCTGTGACGGGAGGGCGCGGCGCTGTCCGTCCCCGTCGGTCTATCTACCCGTGGGGTGGTGGTGTGGAGGTGGTGGCTCTTCCTCTCCGCTCGATGTAAGTGTTTGTTGTCCTACCTCGCTGTATCGCGCTGCTAGGGGAGGTGCTTTTCTGCTCTTTGCCTGCTCGATGCTAATCTGCTGCCGCTTCGCTCGGTTTGCTATAAGCTAGATCGTTTTTTTCTGATTTCTTCTAACCTCTGGTTCGGATGCTTACTGGCCAGAATCTGACATCAGACAATCGACCTGTCGGGGTATATCCGCCGCCCAAAGAAGGACCCCCATGCCAGTGCTGTGACCTCGGTCAATGGTCGTAGCTCTGCAGTGGTAGTGGGGGAGCTAGTGCCACCTCTCAATGTGACTGTGCCTTGTACCGAACCTGGGGTGTCTCATCCCAATAATCAGGGCTAGAGCGCGCTGAAAAGCCGTCAAAAGCATGGGTGCTGACTGCTGAGTGCTTCTGCTGGTACCTGCTGTCGTAGCTAGATTTTTAACGTGATAAGATTGCGATTCCTAGAAATGAATGCTACAAATGAATAATGTGCCCTTTGCAGGCTACATATCGCTGTAATGTTTGCATTTGGTCGACTACCTGCATACGTGCTGTGAATGCCGCCACTACCCGCTTGCCAACCATCACCTATTCGACGCGTGATACGACGGTTTCACTGTGGCGTCTCACATATTTTGGTGCTGCGAAGTTTGATCAGAATCAGCAGTCAGCGGTGATGCTCGCTTTTTTGCTGCGCTGACTCGCATATTTTGTAAAAGTTCAAAGCTCTATCATCAGCGTGGGAACCGCTTATTCATACACATGTAGAAAGACGGCCTTGTATTTCCGTCAATAATAACAGGAATTTATCCGTCACTTGTCCCAAAGAAATGCATGCACATGGAGATAATCGGCGATGATTACCTTGTTTCTTGTAAGCACTCTGACTGAGCGAGTCACTGTTGGCTGAAGTTTCCTTGCTCATGACTGATAACATTTTCCAGCGTGAAGACGGCTGGGGAGTGGGGATCACTATTCACTACCATGCGACTCTAACTCCACTTGCTACATGCGTTTCTTCTGTTTAGCCCACGGAATTGACTCCCCTGCCCCGTGCTCACGGCCGTGTCTGACCGTGACTCTGTGACTCGGCAGAGGCCGGCGCTGGACTCGGAGGGCGACTCGGACATCAGTTCGGAGGGCAGCAGCGGCGCCAGCTCGCTGCCGCCCAGCCAGGCGAGCGGCGGCGCCGGACAGGGACGACACCGCAGCTCGGACAGCTCCGACGGCGACCACGAGCACGAGCACGACCACCACGACAGCGAGCAGCTGGCCGGCGTCAACCTGCGACAGCTGGTCAGTAGCCGGTTAGCGTCAGTACCTGCCGGATCACCGCTGGGCCCACGGCCCTCGGATGGGTCATAGGCTAGGTCAATGTTAGGTCAGTGGACTATGGCCCTCGGTCGGGTCGCTGGCTGGATTAATGTCAGATATATGAGCGGGGCACCGATTGGTCACGGGACAGGCCACCGATCCAATGGGTCACCGCTACGTTGATGATGATTTGGGGGTCACCGCTATTGGTTACGGAAGTTTGAGCTGATGGGAATATGGAACTGAAGGCAGTCCGTTCTGTAGACGATGCATGCAGTTTGTGTGATTGGTGAGGCTTGCATGAACATTGAGAGTAGCTCAGATGAATGTGCAGTGTGCTGGTTCTACTGGTTCTACAAAGTTGCTCTGTTTTCGGTGATATATGCGTTCCACATTCACTCGTGTTTAGCTGTGTTCCTCGCATGTCTGTGATTTATGCTCATCTGTGAGTGTTTTCTCGACGTTCTGTCCGACTTGCGGTGGCAGCTGTATGGTTGTCGGTGCTCGTATATTCCCCATCTATCTCTGTAGAGATGCATGCTCTGTGGTGGCTGATTTCGCCCGTCTGGCTCTCTCCCTCTCTCTGTCTCTCTCCTCTCACGGCTCTGGCCCTCTCCGGTCGTATGCGGCTCTCGGCTCCCACACCTCACCACTCGCGCTCGCAGCAACCACCGATCTCTCGTCTCCCGGCCCGACTTTCGTCAGACTCTCCGCCACCGACCGGCGCCGGTAGCACCAACATTTTCTCACGTGGCACGCCGGTGAAGGCCTCTCGATCGGGTGCTGGTCGCACGTTCGCGCCCCCGCACCGTCCACAATGTGACCTTGGTTTGGTCTCGTGAACCCCCAACCACCGTGCTCTACTGGGGTCGGGACAGCGTTTGCTCAATTACCGGTAGTTGCATCAGATGATTAAAAATATTCCGATGCTGTAGTAATGCAATTACTTTTTATCGTGCGCTATGGAAGTGGTATTTAGTCATTTTTATTTGAAGCAGTGTAACTATTTTTATGCGTGAGGATTTTTCTCGGTTACGCATTGCTTTGTCAATGTGTTATTTATTTTGCATTATAAGTGCTGAATGAGAACTGCGCTGGACAACTGTCAACTCGCTCAGGAGAGTAGGTACTTGGTAATAAACACTTCCACAAGTCACGTCCATCGTCGCGTCGAGCCGATTGTCACCCATACGTCACCCGTTACGCGATCGACGATCAACAGCTCGGCCTATCGGCCCTCTTTCAGCGCTCGAGCTATCTGACGAACGTGAGTGCGCCGAGGCCGACCCCACGGACGGCGCTGGGCCCCGCCACCGGCGTGTCCATCAAAAACCTGGTACGTGCGGTCGAGTTGGGCGGCGCTCTGAGTCATACCTATGCGGGGAAGAGCTCTAGGAGAGGGAGAGAGACAGAGGGGTCGACTCCTTCCCTGTTGTCCGTTTGTTTCGTGAGAGTGATTTGTCAAGCTGTACCATTGTGTCAAGTACAGGGATGTTCACGAAAAACTGACACATTTTAAAACGACTTTGTGAGCATGTGAGAGCTCACGGAGACTTGACTTGCATGCCATTCGAAAGCCTGTTGAAAAAAGTTTTGTATCTGCATAGCTCCTTTAGTTAGCATCACATGAGCTTCCAAATAAATAAGAAAGCGTTAAAATGGGGAAATTTGACTTGGCGACAAAACTTAACGGAAAAACAATGAAGCTCTCGCGGCTGCCATCTGCCACCACGACTGAACCAGTCTACGAATTCGTCTAAAATTTGACATATTAATGTTTCGATGGATTATGTTTTATACTATTGGCATATTGTGGGCAAATTCCTAAGGAATGCCAAAATTGGCAGGCTTGGAAGTGCTGATGTCAGAAACCATGGCCGCATGCTGGCAGTCACTGTAGAGTGGTACCGTGCCATCTTTTAACAGCTTCTGTTAGCTACTGTAGCGGAAATGGGTCGACGTCTACACCATTTGGTGGTTCTGGCACGTCAGGGCCACCCTACGTACAGTAACGGCGATCATCGGTCTCACACGAGAACAGGGGGGAGGGGGCACTTGTCTCGCGCATCACCTCTCACCCATAGCCGGCCATTTCGCTCTACCTCAACTCCGTGGACTATTCCTGTGGGGTCACGTGAGTGACATGATCTGTAGCAGCGGCCCAAAGGACATCAAACCTCCCGACGAGTGCAGTGAGAGGTGTTGCAATTCTCCAGGCACGTGCCCAAAAACGGGGAATAATTTCCTGTTTCGGGCTGAGTCGTGCACTGCTCCAAAAACTCGTCATCTGCAAAATACGCTGTAACTTCTTAGAAACGAAAATGACATGATCCCAAAATATGTCAATACAAACTTAGAAGTCCACTCTATTGGCCCATAGCATGATCACCGTTCTGAGGGCAAGTGTTTTCTCGTAATTCGGAAATAAAATGTGTCAGTTTTTCGTGAACATCCCTGTATGTGCTACCATATTACATATATCGACTTGTCAAGTAGATTCAATACGTGGTTGTGACAACGTTGCTATACGTCATCGCTTGGGCATGCCGCCATCGTGGCCCGGTACTCCTGTAGCCTCAGTGTGATAGCTGCCAGTCGTGTGTTTGGCTAGCCAGGGTGTCCCTAAATGTGGATTCATTGTTGTCCGTTGCAGTTTTGCGCTATATCCCGCGACCTGGTGGGGGGGGGCTATTTTTTGCCCCCCCCCCCCTCCAGACTTTTCGATATATCTCCAGAACCACTGCGCCGATCGTCACCAAACTTTCAGTACCCTCCCGGACATCAATTTTACACATTGTGACCAAAAATTTTTCCAACGGCTATGATAGGTTGGCCGTAAATGACGTCAGAGTGACGTCATGTTCTGCCGTTTTCGACCCAAAAAAGGGTTTCGCGGGAAGAGCTGTCAGGCCTATAGCTTTGCAAATACAGAAAAATGATACAGACATAAAAGCTGTAGAATGGACAGGGCTACAAAACTGCTATGTCGGATTTTTGAAATTTTTGGATTTTGACCCCCAAAAATCAAAAATAGATTTTTTGAATATAATAGCAAAAAAATCCAAAAAGTTTTTTGAATTTCGAAAAAAACCGGAATATATGTGATAGTCCTAACCGCCTTCTATCTACATACCAAATTTGAGATCGATACCTCTTTTTTGGCCAAGTTATAGCGAAAAAACTGTTCAAAATTGATGACGTCAAATTTTCAAACTCAATTTTCAGCAATTCTAGACCTCGTAGCGCAAAACAAAGACCACCATTAGACTCCCCGTGACGAGCTGCATCGAATCAATACCCATTTTATGCAAAAATATCAACTTTGAAATTTGACCTTTTTTGACCTGACCTTGACCTGACCTCCACCAGAAACTGACCTAAACCGTACCTGATGGTCTTATAACCAATACCATTGAGTTGGAAATGAAAAAACTGGCCATAAAACATGCATCGCATAACCTTAGTAAAGTTGGGTTCATGTGGTGACCCTTGGTGACCTTTGGTGACCTGACCTGTGACCTGACCTGGTATGACCAGTGACCTCTAACAGCAACATATCTACTAGGCAACTGACGCCCTATCGCTGATTCCCGACAAAATGCGTTTTCCTCGGTGTTTAGCGCATTCCCTAGAAGACCCGTGAACGGTGAAACATTTCATCTTTGACCTGACCTGTGACGTCATCGGTGACCCCGAGGTCAATAAAATTTGGTTTCCCTCGACAAATTTGACAGGCCTTTCGAACGCCGTTTGAATTTTTCGGATCCGTCCAGTAGTTTCGGAGATACGAGGGGGGGGGGGCAAAAAATAGCCCCCCCCACCAGGTCGCGTTATAAACAGACCCCACCAGGGCGCGGGATATCGGAGAATGAATGAGTCTATGTCTTAGTTATCAGGCGGTTGCGATAATATGCCCAGTCCCGGTGTGGTATCAGACCGTGGCATGATAGCGACCCTGTCCTGTTAGTCCACCGTCCAGTAGTACCGCCGTTTCATCCAGGGGTGCGGCCCTGCTCCCCTAACTACGACCCCCACGGACTGGAAACTGACCCCTCACTGTGACCGTCCCGCAGAAGAACTCGTATAACGCGCCGCCAACGCCAGCAAAACGCGGATCGAAGGACAGCGGCGATGGCCGACCGAGAGAGCTGTCCAAGATCAACGTCAATATGGCTTCACTGGTGAGTAGCGAGGGTTTGGCTGTGCTTTCACGATGTATTTAGGTTGCCACCGTGGTTCATTGATCACGATTAAGTGGTGCTTAGCTGTGTCATTCAGCTGTGCCGTGGCTGTGCGCAATGACGCACGCTTCAGTTGCATCACATGCGCCGGAGAGAGGAAGACAACAATCAGAGACCAATGCGGGCAAGTAGGGAGTGGTTGAGAGGCGACAAAGCGTCCAATCGCTGTACCGACCTGCTGCGCAATGTCACCATCTTTGCTGTCACCGAACGGCCGCGGGGTTGCGCCATCAATAAGCTCTGTGGAGCTGCGTTTCCTCTCTCCAGATACGCTGTGTCACCAGTGATAGCGTCACCAAGTACCCCGCGGTGCTGCCATCTTCCCCGTGGGGGACACGTCCCCCACATGTGGCACCTCCCGCCTGTCAATGACGATAGGCGGTCTGCCAGTGACATCTACTGAGCGTTGTCGTTTCACCACATCCTAGTCCAAGCGCTGTCTGAGGCTGTTACACGTATAACACACCTCCGACTTCCGAGTCATACGTAGTAGGTATACACCGGTCGGCCGTTGCCCCGTATTGTATGGAATGACCTGCATACCGCCCTCCGGTCCGTCTACCGTCGGTCTGGTGGACATAACGTGACGGGACCGTCACGGGCCGCACTGGTGGTCACGCTGCGTGACGGCAGTGATGAGACGCGTCGCTGCCGACGACTGCATGCCATGCTATCCCGCCGCCGGGGCTGTGACGGGCGGCAGCGCGAGCCGTACCGCTGCACGGTGCAGCGCTGTAGCACGGTGTCTGGGCCTAACGGGGTGGTTCACCGCGGGCACCGTCAGCCCCGGGGCAGACAGACAGTAGCGGGACGGTTGTGGAATCGCTGACAGTGAGCGATCGGTGCCGTCCGCGCAGAGAGACGCGATAAAGAGACAACGAGCTGGACCTCCACTCGGAGAAAGGTGTTAAAGAGACAGCAAACTGAGTGTGTGATGTGTAGGTGAGGCACTACACCCGGCTGTGCTGTCTGAGTGAACGCTGTCGTTTTATTCAGCGTCCTTCTCATCCGTCCGTCATTCGTCCGTCCGCAGAAGTCGGTGTATTCCTCCCCGGACGGCCACCCAGCCGCGGCCGTACAGAAGCCGGCGGCGGCCGACCTGCCGTCAGGCCTGAGCCTGCCGTCCATCCGGGCGGCCTACGTACAGCAGACGACGGCGGGAGCCGGGCCGGCGGCCGCCGAGACCAAGCACGCGCCGGCCGTCCGCACCGGAGTCAGCATCGACAAACTGGTCAGTCGACGGAGGAGCTAAGGGAAAAGGTCAGCCGTGCGTATCAGCCGCCGGGGATCCGCGGGAAGGGTCACGCTGTAAACTAGCCAGTCGGCGTAGCCCGCGGAAGGGGCCGCAGTGACTGGGTCGAAAGTTCTCAACCATTGTCCTTTTTATGAAAAATTATTTGTGATGTTTCTGAATTGAACGGGTTCTTTTCATGGCATCTTATCTGAATGAGTATGGTATAATTAGCTCATGAATTGTTGAGTTTTTGAGTCGTTTTCGTATTTCGATACCGATCAGACTTTTTGCGTTCACTTCCTTCTGCCGCCCCTGATTCATCACGCTGGCTGACCTTGCCCGTCTCCCGGACAAGTTTATGCCGACTGCCGGGTCCCTGCTCGATGTTTACTCTCTATTGGTGATCTCTGATTGATGAGACTCCATAAAACTGCTGGTATCTGGCGGGCGATCTGGACGAGATATGGGCCTATCTGTCGGGCCCTGTTGAGACCATTAGGGGCGAATTGCCGCTGAATGGGACAGATTGCCTCTGAATTGGACACCGGGGCACCGAATTACCCATTGTACTGGGAGGTTTGAAGCAGCGCGGGACTTGGGTCGGGGGTTTCAAGGGCATTCAAGCTGATATAGACACGTTTTTAGGCGTTATTCAGTCTTTGGGACTCGCCAATAAAAATTGGATCATTTACTTTGCTTTTGTTCACTTTCTTACCCTCAGTTCTCATGACATTTGCTTCCAATGCTGTCGATACCATTGAGCCTAAGTAGTTTCGTATCGTAACACGTTTGAACACCATATTAAATATGCTAGCATTTGCTTTGTTTTGTAAGGCTGTCGGGTTGAAGATGTTCGGGAGGTAAGCTGGTGCTTGCTCATCGTTTTGAGGCTAGTGACATTCTAATTCAACATCCGGCAGACCCATTAATTTGTTTTCTCTGGTACACGTCTCATCCATAAAGTGGGCGCGCTGACGGCTCATTAGTACGAGAATGCACGATGTGGGTGTGCTTGAATGATGTACAAATAATCATGCTTCAGCTACATAGAACGAGTTGTTGGCTCTTGTACCGCTAGTTTTTTGCCTGCTTTGACGGCGTTTGGGACTGACCCTGCAGGAGCCAACTGCGGATAACCCGTGCAGACTGTGTTTTATCTACGGTGTGCGGTGCTGTGTTTAACCCACGGTGCTGGGTACTTTTGGTACGGGCTCTCACTAACCCGCTAACCCCGTAGCGCTCGAGCTGGACCGACCTGGCTAGAACGGCAGAGACGCCTGGCGGCGATCACTGGAACCAGCCCGACTCGCTCCGAACGGCGTGCATGGGTGTTTCGGTCAGAGCCCTCGTAAGTCCGAGAGGCCTCTATTTTCAGTCGGTTTATCGTAGCTAGCGTTGAAATGGTCGCTCTGTTTACGTTGTTTTCCCCATCTGCATAGCGAAGCTAATGAAATGGCTGGTGCAAATATGCTAAAAGTTTGAGAAGATGAAATGGTGACTTGCATGCTTTTGTGACTCGTTAAGTTGTGGTGAGACCATAACCATTTAATACTTATGGTAACTAATGTCTTAAACAACTAACCCAACCAATGCTATCTAACAACAATTTGTCGTTGTCCAGCGACAACTGTGTTGGTGACTGTGTGTTGTGTTCACTGTGGTTCTGACTTCTGAGGACGGACACCGACGTATGATGACCTGGACTGACCATAACTTGTTGATCTGCTGTAACCCCCGGTGACCTGAGCGACCCTCCTGCAGAGGGCCAGCTACGGTGACCTGAGCCGTCTGTCGGACGGGTCGGGTCACGACCCCGAGCCGCGGCCGGTGGCCCCTCGGCCGGCCCCGCGATCCCACAGTATCCGAGACCTGGTAAGGACGGACCTCGCCCACCCACAGACTTTACCGGGGACAGAGACAGACCGCTGGCTCCTCCATTGCAGAGTGTATATTATGTTTGCAAAGACGCTTGGGAATGATGCTTGTTGTTTCAAATATGATTATTTTTATCGCTTGCTTGATGCTAAGGTGCTTGCAACCGGCGTTGAAACGATGTTGCCTTGTTTGCTGTTCTTATAACGCTTTATAATGCGTTCATTTGTTAAAACTGCTTTGGTTTTGTCCATATGCGTGCAATTAACTGTTGTACAACGGCTTAGCATCTAATTGGCAGGTTTGCTGGTCCGTCCATGGTCCCAGCGGGATGTAATCGCACTAACATCTAACGTCGAACCCGTGCCATTGCCCGCTTGGTCTCCCGTTGCCGTCCCTCTACTAACGGTCTGCGCTGTGCCTGTCTGTCTGTGTGTCTACCTGTCCGCGGGGCGGTACAGAGTACCAGTACCACGGACCTAGCCGGCCTCCAGGCCTCGCCGGTGCCGCCCTCCTGGCTTCAGACGCCCGCCGAGGCGCGGCGCCACCGGCGCGCAGAGCAGGTAGGTGGTAGCGCCAGTGCCGTCAAATTCCTGCCTAGCTTGACGTTCCTCATCCAAAAAGAAACTCCAACTAGTCGTGGGCTGTTGATATAACTTGGAAATGAGGTTATTAATTGTGAAGGAGCCCTTTGCTTTACTGACAAGATGCCTAAAATAAGGTTGTTTCATTCGCGAGTAGCTTGATGCATAACCGTCATAAGCAAAAAACGTACAGTGTAAATACGCCTCGCCCGTGGCCGACTCCTGCAGCGCGCTGTGCCGCTAACGCCGCCACTAACGCCGCCTGCCGCAGGACCATGACACGTCCCCGCCGAGCGCCCTGACCAAGAGCCGCTTCAAGTCGGAGGGTGACCTGCTGACGGCCTCGGCGGCCGGCCGGCGGTCGGCAGCCGCGCCCCCCGCCGACCGAACACTCAGAGACTCGGAGGTGTTCTCGAGAGTCTCCGTCAAGGCGCTGGTACGACGCGACGCGACCTGACACTGGCACGACATGGCATGACCTAGACACGAACTGACACCGGACGCAGCATGACATGACCCCTGACACGACCTGATAACCGCGATCCTGGTCTGACAGCATGACGTGATCCGACCTGTACGGGGCGTGACCTGACCTGGCTCTCATCGGATACTAGTTGGATCTTGACCTGACCTGACGTAACCTGACTCGGTGCGGTCCGTCGTGACGTATGTCAGAGGACGGCGGCTGTCTGACTGTCATTAGTCTCTACTATGTTCTGTCTCGGGTCTGTGTCCTGAGATGTTACAGTAGTCGACGTTCTTCCTTAGTGTATAGCGCTGACCGGTGCCGGGATATTAGCGGCGAATGTAGGCTCTGTGTTTAACTGACTGCTAGATCGCTGAAGCTCACTAACGACCTCGGAAAGGTGCTGCTTTGAAGTAATATCTAGCCTATCTGGCAAGCATGTTTGTGTGAATTTCTACACCATGCTACTCCAGCCAGGAAGTGTGCTAGTGCCACCCGTGTGTCAATGTCTCAGTGTGGATGTGTCAGCGGCTGTGTCTGCCGCAGAGGGCCAGTTTCTGCGACCTCAGTCAGCTCCGGCCGTCCCCTCCCTCACCGGGGAGGGAGCCGAGACTCTCCCCGGCCAGGAGCGGATCCGCGCTGGTAAGACGGCGAGGTGTATAATGTCCCGACCTTCGGCTTCTCTGGTCGGTCGTCTTGCCACAGCTGTCTGTCTTTACTCGGCCGTCGACAGTGTATCTTACCCTCGGCTGAGCTGTCTTGGTGTTGTCTCGTCACCCGTCTCGCAGCTCTGTGGTATAGGGTGCGGCAAAAGTATTGATACCTTCCGTCTTTTTGTAATAACTCAATGCATTTCCAACATGCCCCCGAATATGACATTTCTGAGCGCGCCCTTGCGTACCCGCATCCTTCCCCGAGGCGGGGATTAGCTGAACAGCTGACCTCGACCCAGAGGGTCGCCGGCCGGGGTCATTATCCACCCGGTGGCCGCTGCAGTAGCCACGGCTGAACCATGAAGGTCAAACAATACAGTTTGGAGGCTCGCAGCCGCGCCATTGGCATGCTCCAAGCCGGCAAGACGCAGAGGGACGTTGCCTCACACTTTGGGGTCCCAGTCCTCACCATCAAACGCTGGTGGAAGAAGTTTAAGGAGGCAGGGAGCGTCGCAGATAGACCGCGGTCAGGGCGCCCTTCCAGCATCTCGACCGTCGCCAAGATCGTGATGAAGAAAGCGGCTGGAAAATCTGGCCACTCGGCGAGGAAGCTGTCCAAACAGCTCACTCGGAAGAAATATCCGGTGTCCGAGAGGACTGTCCGCCGGTACTGGAGGAACACCCTTGGACTGAAGGCCTACAAGATCCGCGTAAGGCCAAAATTAACGGAAAAACAGCGAGCACAGAGGCTTCAGTTTTGCAAGGAACGCAAGAACTGGACTGTGGAAGAGTGGAAACGGGTACTCTTCAGCGACGAGTCTCCCTTTCAACTCTTCCACCACCCAAACCGCCAGAACGAGCGAGTGTGGGCTGAGAACCCGGCTGAAGTCCCGAAGGCGTTCAGCGTCAAATTCCCGCCGAAACTGACGGTGTGGGGCATGATGTCCTACGAGGGACTGAGCCAGCTGCACGTGATCCCACAGAAGACGTCAGTCAATGCCGAGTACTACGTGGAGCACATCCTCGAGGAAGTCTGCCTCCCTGCCATCAACAGGACGGCCACGACGGGCTCCGTCCTCACGCGCCGCATGGTCGAGCGCAGGTCGGACAGCATTTTCATGCAGGATGGCGCTCCAGGTCATCGGTCTGCCAGAGCGCAGAAGTGGTGCCGGGAGCACCTCCCCAACTTCTGGGCTAAAGACACGTGGCCAGGGAACAGCCTTGACCTGGATCCAATTGAAGAGCTCTGGGGGATAATGCAGCAGGAGCTGGACAAGAAAAAACCTCCCAGCAACCTTGGACAGCTCGAGAAGGCGCTCAAGAGGACGTGGGCGAACATCATCCCACAGACTCTGAAGAACGTGGTGGCCAGCATGCCCGCACGTCTCTCACTCTGTGTCCAGCTTCGTGGAGAATACATTGACCGCTGAAATGAAACTGTTGTTTTAATTTTACGGGAGGGAGGGAATGAATGGTAAGGTATCAAAACTTTTGCCGCACCCGGTATTTTCGAGGCACCGAGTATCCGTCTGCTTCCTACATCTGTCCGCACAGCTCTCGAATCGGTTCCATTTGTGATAGTATCAGGCAGGTCGATTTGCACATTTGCACCTAGAGATTCTGTGTATGCTTGTGGGTCTTCCAGCAGTTAATCCGTTATATTTTCTGGGTCGATTCCTCGTTCGATTTAACGATGGTAAGTAACATGTTCTGTTGAATCATCCTCTCTTAGGTGCTCAGGTGTCGTCGCGTCTTATTTCACCTCGTGTTCTCTAACTTCGTTCTCTCTGTTGCAGTAGTCAGAATCACGCCCACCGGCTACCCACTCTGACTGCCACGAACTCTCGTCTCACTCCCCTAAAACGTATATCGTTTTACTCACATTTGTCGGTTGTTGTTGCTTATTTTTGTCGTGCATGTTATCGTCTTTGACTGTGCCGTTATTGTCTCTTTTGTTTGTTTTTTTCCCGTCAGTTCTTAGTTTGATTGACCTGTATGTTGGGTTGGCCATTTTTATATGCAGTTATATGAACGATTGGTGATGGTTTCTTTACTAACGGTTTATCGCGGTTAGTGGGTTTGATTCCTGGAATGCTCTGGTGGCGGGTGTTTGATTTGCTACAATTTTGCCGCGTGTGCTGCGTCGCTATTTGCAGTTTTATCTGCTTTAATGGTCCCCCGACTCCGTTGATACGCTGTCCAACAGTGACATCTGTGTCGCAGCCTCTGCTTCCCCCGTCCCCTCTCCCCCTCCTTCGGTGGCCGGGATCTAACGTCTGCTGATGTGGCCGACTGTTGCAGAGGTCCAGTTTCGGCAGAGCAGAGTCGACCGACCACACCCGCATCCACGTGCGATCCTTCGACAACTCCGCCGTCATCAGCCGCTTCAACAAGGTAGGGAGGCGCGACGTACTGAGGTGGGGAGACGCGGTCATTGGCGCAAACGGTTAGTGGAATAAGCGTGTGGATGTAACGGCGGTAGAAATCGACGCTGCCGACTGCCGTTGGCAAGGGATTGTGTATTTTGCATGTTTATTGTCGATAGAAAGTAGCTACCTTTGCAGGCTAGGTATGGATATGAAAAAAATCGGATGCAAAATGCTTCCTAAACTCGATATTTCTTAAGGACATTTTAGTTCTAAAACTCAAATAAATCTTAGTTCTATCGAAGTCTATCGGTAATTTGCAGATTAACATTTTAGCGTTTTACACCACTGCTGACGCTCGGCGCCCAATGCGCCTTAAAATGGCTGCTCTTTACTCTACCGCAGTCCTGTACTGACTGGCCCGGCGTGCACTGTGGACAGTCTTAACGGTCTGATCAGAACTCGGCAATCCGCTCCTGCTACCGCAAACCGTATATCAGCGTGTGTTTTACCGCCTTTCGTTCGACACTGTTCTGCGGTCACTGTGTCCGCTGCTGCACCCGTCCGGTCTGCGGGTGACGCCTGCTTCTGACACGGATAGCTGGTCCGGCCGGTCAGACTGAGCCTGTGCCGCCCTGTCGCGTCAGATCTGTCCCGTCCAGTCTGGTCCCGTCCGGCCGGCCCGGCCGGCTGTTTTGGGGACGGCTGCAGCCACGTCGCGCACGCCGCTGTTACAGCATTCTGCAGAGGGTTTCGACAGCGGTGCTCTGGGGGCGGGGAGGGGTGTTTTCGAACCGGCCTGTCCGTCGCGGTTAGCTGTTGCCGTCGCTGTGCCCTTGCTTGTCCCCCCCCCCCCCCTCCTCCAACTCTGTGGACTGTGCTGTTGACAACGGCGTGATTGCCATTGCCATTGCTGTATTGGTGTACCAAAGCAAGGGCAACAAATCCCGTCCCCGAATCACACCTGCATAGCTACGAGCGACGCCAAAAATCGGATCCTGCCCCTGTATTATGAAATTGCGTTGCCCCGTGCCCTCTGTGTAACACCCCTCCCTGTCCCCTGTTTCTCAGGATGGCGGCGAATCGTCCAGCTCGGAGTGCCGCGCGTGCGGACGGAAGGCGTACCAGATGGAGAGCGTGCACGCCGAGGGCGCCGTCTGGCACAAAACCTGCTTCCGCTGCTACCAGTGCAACAAGCAACTGACGTGAGTGCCGGCCCGGGGATGACCGGGTTAAATATATGGTTTTGGTAATCGTGACACCAGCGACGTCACTTAACCGTTGTTCAGCTGGCAAATATCCCCGCAGCTTACACTATCGGAGTTTTTAGACTAAAGTTTTGGCATTCATATATTCCAACTGCGTTTTTGGGGCGATACCAGACTGTCTTCTTGGAGCATCGGTGATGTTTTGTAGCCTCCATCAGTCGGTCACACCTGTATATACTGTACTGATTCAGGGGTCACTGGCTCCAGGTGTGCCCGATACCACCTCTGTCGACCGCTCTAACGGTCACACCGGATCCAGCATCAAACATTCCTGGCCACGGGCCGTCCAGCCGGGTCAAAAACTGGCCCTGTCGAAGTCGCTCTGAATGGATTGTTTTTGTCGGCGCTCAGTGGGCGGATTTCCGTCCGCGATGTCGGAAACTAAACGGACCAAAGAGCCGTGGCATCGACTAAAACCAACTCAACATGATTAAAATTGTTGCTGTTTGATTGAAATTATTGTTTACGTCTCACTGGTTGGAAGTATTTTTTACTTCTCAAAACGTCTGGACACTGCACATTCAGACGTGTGCAATGTGTCCTATGCGAAGTGCTCAGTGCTAGCGTAATTTATGATGAACGGGCGACATTCCTCCGTGATCTGTCACGTTTTTGTATTTAGAACCTAGTCCGCCAACCGGTCCGTGTGGAACTATGTTAAGTCACGAGTCGTGAGTTAGCGCTCAGGATCCGTGAGGAGGCTGCTGACGACAGCAGTTTCATCGCGTACCCGCGGCTCCCCTGTCGTGGCGACATCTGACCACTGGTCAGTGCTAATCGCGAACATGTTTCGCTGTGTGTCTGGCTACATAATACCTCACCCAATGTCCCAATTTGTGTCTCACTGGGTGCCTCGTCCGATGTCTCACCGATCTACTCCTCTGTTTCAGTGTGGACACGTATGCCAGTCACGACGGTCGGCTCTATTGCGTGGTTCATCAGCGGCAGCTGTTGAAGGCGCTGGCCGCTGCAGCTGCCGCCCCCGCCTCCGCCGCCACAGCCACCACAGCCGCTGCCGCGACCGTGGACGCCACAGACTCAGGTACGGTTCCTAGGTGTAGGGGTGTCAAACAAATAGCATAAAACTCCAGCATTATATATTGTCACAGAAGCTAAACCCATTCACGGTTAGTCAATAATCCCTTAAATTTTGTATTATGTAATTGTAAACTGCTGTTGGTAAATGGGCATACAAATATTTATTTGAATTCAATTCGTCGCTATATTTTACTCAGAAACAATGTAAAGTATGTCAACCGGCGGGAGACACAAATGTGTCGACTTCCATCGCAGACACAGCCCAAATTCCAAGTGTGAGCAGCTGACCCAGCCCTCGCCCGATGGCTTCCCCATTACCGTTGGGGTTCAAGTACGGTCACCTGAGTGTTTCTCATTACCAGCATATGGTTGGCAATGAGAGTACGGAGGCTGAATTACACCGTAGGGCGTGGGTTCAGTCAGTCTGTCCCTCCCTATACCACCACTCCCACCGCACCCGTTCCGTGCTTCTATCCTCAGGAAACTGAAATCCTTCTCCTCCACGCCGCTACCCCCTCCGGGCTGGACAGGCAATTTTATCTCATGCGGGCTGCTCCCTTGGAGCGGCACCGCTGCTCCCGAGGGAGCGCACCCCGTAGCCGGGTGCAGTGAGTGCCTTGGGGCTGGGTGGCCTGTCCTATGGACGGGCTCAGCCCCGGCGACTCACTAGGGTGCCTGCCCAGACCAATGTCTCCCCCTACATCCTATCATCCTCCCGGCTCTGAAATGGTCTAATTGGACCAAAAGGGTCTAACCCCCCAAAAAAAAAACTCCCACCGCCCACCGCGGCCCGTTCTGACCAGGTGCTGGGACCGGGTGGTGGATGGTTACGCTATGGCGGGCTGGCCTCGGCGCTAAATTGACTGATAACGAGCCCGTGGCCCGGAACCCGGCCCACCGCGGGTACCACGAGACTTCGGCTTGACCGATAGGTTTGTCCCGGTTCTGGTGTGGAAGCGAAATTTGATCGGGAAATGTAGGTGTTGAGTGATAAAATGTTAGGTGGTGAAAGCACATTAGAATAATGTTACATTCTGAAAAGTAGTTTTATTGCATTCGAAAGCAGTTCACAATCTTCTCGATATCAGGCATGCATAAATCAAGAAACATCGTATTTCTGTCAGCTACACATACACCCGTACCTTTTATCACCGTGTTGCTATTCGGAGACGGTAGACGGTGCGGTCAGTTCCAGTCCGCTGCCCGGGGACCACTGACCGTGCAGCGGCCGGGGCGGCCTGACCCGGTCGCGCGCCAGCTCTGATCCCATCAGCTGCCGCCGTGTCGGTCCGGTCCGCCGTGCTGCCGCCGCGCCGCGCTTCCAGATTTCGACCACCGCTCCGGGGTTGTTTGCCTTTCCCGGAGACTGAGTTCGAGCCGCATCGGTCGGGCGGGAGGAGGGGGGGGGGGGAGGGGGACAGCGACCGTGTCTGCACTGGCAGAGCGTCACGTCAGTGGTGACGGGAATGGTATGATATCACGTATACTGGCGATGTTGGTATGTTATGTTTGCAGTGACTGAGGAATGCTAGAATGTCACGGATGCATGATAAAATCTGGGTATGCAGTGGTAGGTGTGACATTTGGTGACGGGACGAGAGGGTGACCGAATGTCATGTTTTGTGTCATTGGTTGGTAGAATTTCGTACTTGGTACCATGCCCATTGCCCGTAGGCCGTAACGTCCGGTATGGTTACTGGGTAGTGTGATTGAGATTGATAGTCACGCATGGCTACCGACGTATGACAGCCCATCACATCAACTACGGACACGTTACAGGATGGTTTCCAATGTTAGAGACACACGACGTCAGGTAGGAAAAATCAGGGAGCGATGGATGGTCCATATGTACCGCCGCCCCGTGAATATCCGCCCGTTAGCGGTGATTCCCGGCACGGTGTCTGGAAGTCGGCCGCTGGCTTCCTGCCCGTGACCCGGCCCCCGTCCGTCACAGCCGGTTCGCTGGCCGGGCAGGCGCCGGGGTGGGTCGGTAGGGTCACCGGGGCGGTGGGACCGTGATCCGGACTGAACTGGACAGCCGTGAGTCGTGAGTCAGTCACGGAACGGACGGTACAGCCGTGATCTTTGTCACTGACGCTGTATATGTGTGCCGGGAGGCGGCGGAAACGGTCATATGAGCCTGTCTAGTTTCGCGGGGGCACTTAACGGCAGAACAGCCCGCCAGTGGCGGCGGTGTGATTGGTGGTTTGTCACAGTTCCCGGCTGCGATGATGCGGTCATGAACCGTGACTGGGGACGGCCCCAGCCGAGACCATTGACTGAGACCATGTCGGACTGTCTCTTACCGCCGCGCCGGCTTGGCATGGAACTCCCGGGTCTGAAGTTTGTAACCGAGTATGGTCCGAACTAAAGACGGCCTTCACATATAGTAAAAGGGGTTAACCCTTCCTTCCTCCACCGGTAACCGTAGTGAACAGCTACAGATGCGACCGCTAGGTTCTAACTTTTAAGCCTGCAAGAGAAAGGTGAACCTGTTCTCACTGCTCCATGCTCTCAGGGCAAGAAAGCAGGGCGGAGACTAAACCCACCAACCCATCGCGCGAACTGTTCGCTCAGTTTCACCCAGATTGTCGAGGCTGCATGCGTTCATCACGTTTGGCAACCAGAGCGGATAGGGCGGGCGAGGTCCCGTAGCTCGGCCGGTTTTCGTCTGAGAAGTGGGTGGGCACGCCTCAGTTCTGTCATGCCACACCAGCATACCACTCAGCGTGTCTTTAGAGTGGAGCAGTGCCACCTTTGGCCGAGAAAGCCGGTAGGTGTGTTGTGTTGCACGTGCTAATTCACTGCACACCAATGCGTCACAATGTAGAATGCCGTCGGTAATTTCATTCAGAATGATAGGGGAGAGTGGGGTAATTTGGCCGGTGCGTGGTGTAAATTGGCCGCCCCCACCTGTACGCTGTCTAATAAAAGTGAGTGAAATAGCTCTAGTCTCTATTCATTTGTCATGGGTAGAAATAACTGGAGGACAAATGTCAAAACTTTGCCCCTCGTAGTTTTATTCAAAATTAATAAAACGTTAATTTCATTAGAAAATGGTAACTTTTACTTCTGTTTACAAAGTTGTATAACATGTAGTATTTGGGCTAAAAACGAATTCAGACATTATAGCGCCATTCTTGGGGGTGTTCAGCGGTTCCAAGAGCAATTTTATCTAATTCCGTATAGCCGTGATGACTTTAAAGACAAAAATTTTCAGAATGACAATATGGGGTAATTTGGCCGGGACTAGCGGGGCAGCTTGGCCGGTGCGCTCATGGTCTATATGCTGGAACGGCCGAGTTTTCATGGTCAATTGTACCATAAATGACATGATTCATGACCAACTTTGACTACTTTGATGCTGTTGTGAAATGCGACCACCTTAGTTTGTGAGCTCCAGCCGGGCCGGCCGGCGACGCGCGCGCGAGTTGTGAGCCGCTGTGGACACGTGACCGGCCGCCTGCGGGCGAATTGGGCGGAGCCGACTGCGGCGGCGGCCGCTGATCAGCGGTCAGTTGGCGTCCTGATCTCGAACCCGTAAGGTACGGCCTTTTGCGGCTGATCTTTGCACACGGGTAGAGTGACGGCGCGACTCAGGCACCGGGAGAGTGCGGCCTTGAGGCTGACTCCTTGCACACCGGTTGCTACCGCTGGTCGGCTAGGCTTCGAGGAGGGGTGGAGGGTCGGCTATCGGTGGCGGCGCGGGGTAACCCGGTGCCAACCCCAAATTGGAACCTTTGTGGTGTAGTGTATTTCTGGATCGGATATCGGTAAGGTCAGCTAATGCTGTTTAACTCCGACAATTGTCGTTTAAAGGGTGGCTAGTCACGGGTTGTATTTAATTGTGCTTATCATCACAATATATCGCGGCACTTCAACGCATTTCTTTAAGTAGTCGGTTGAAACTTACAGTCGATCCGGTCTTAGGGTTTGTCTGAATACAGTCCACACTTTTTATACACGGCCAGAGTCGCAACATAGTCCTCCGGGCCGGATGTAACTGTACCTTTGGAATTTTTCGATCAGTCATTGTCGGTCAGTAACTGCTTTTTTTAGACTTCCTTTCTGAACATTGCCTGTCATGGAGGAATTGATCGCCACTAGGACTAGACTTCGCTCAAAGGCCACAAAGCTCTGCAACGATTTAAAGGCTTGTCGGCAGGAGGATCAAAGATCCTTGGACCAGGATCAGCTGGCATTGAAAATCCACCATGTCGAGAAGCTGCTGGGCGAGCTTCAAGGCACCCAAATTCAGCTAGATAAGGTAGGGCAATCGGATGAGACCAGCCATATCCAGATGATGGAGGATGAGATATTTCTGAGTTCTCGAGTTCTAGCCCGCCTCGAGAAGGCTGCCGAGGCCAGGGGCGTGCCTGTGCCGGGGAACTCGACAGCGAACTCTGAATTCAAATCCTCTCTGGCTGTCAAAATCCCAGTTTTCGGTGGCGACATCATGAAATGGTCAGAGTTTTGGGAGTTGTTTATGGTCTCAGTTCATCAGAATCCTGGTTTCGAAGATGTTCAGAAGTTTGTCGTGCTGAAATCGCATTTAGCTGGTGCAGCCCTTCAGGCCATTCAGGGTATCCCAGTCTCTGGCAACGGCTACGCCGAGGCTGTGGCAGTTCTCAAAGAGAGGTTTGACCGAAGTGAGCTCTGCCGAGAGACGCTCATGAGAGAGCTTTTGAACATGCCTGCAGTCCGCTCCAATGATCTGAGGGCCCTGCGGTCACTGACGGACCATATCGCTGCCCACACCAGAGCCTTAAACTCACTCGGTGTCACGTCAGACAGCTTCTCTTCACTCTTACTGCCCATGGTTAAAGAGAAGCTTCCAGAGAGCTGGCGAGTTGAGTGGGCAAGACAGGGAAAAACACAGTTCGCTGATTTTCTTGAGTTCCTTCAGCAGGAGATACGGGTGCAGGAGTATGCGAGAGGTGTAGCGGCACCAGATGCTCCCTCAAAGTCTCCAAACTCCGCGGCCTCTGTAGCTGCCACCCTTAATGCACAGCGCATGCCTCGCGCTTCAAACAAACTGTGCCCTGCTTGCTGCAGTGGGACGCACCCGCTCCCACAGTGCCGATCATTCTTGAAAATGGATCCTGAGGCTCGGTGGAGAGTTGCGTCGGCATCAATGGCCTGTTATTGTTGCCTAATAGGGGGACATCGCGCTCGAAGCTGTCGGGCTGGAGGCTGCAGCGAATGCGGACGGAATCATCACGTCCTGCTGCACCGCCACTCCGCTGCCCATTCTCCGCAGAATCCTGGTGTTGGGGTGGCACCCACGACTGGTGCAGATGGGCCCTCGCCGGCTGGTCTGCGGCCGAGGGGTGCAGAGGTGAGGCCCCAGGACGGCCACTTGGAAACAGTACAGCGTCCATCCAGCTCAGGCCCTCCGCAGCCCGCTGCTGCTGCGCAGGCGCCGCCGGTAGGTCCGTTCAGGCCAGAAACGGTCCCAATCAGCACGGCTGGGGCAAGGACAGAATCACGTGATTTCAATGTCGGACGGCATCGCTACCAGGCTGGTGGGGGGAACATTGGCAATTGTTTCTTCCAGACAGCGCTGGTCAGGGCCGGTGATCCCCAGAACGGTCGAATGGTTCGGCTTCTCTTGGACGGGGGATCAGACTCCTCTTACATACGCAGCTCCCTGGCGGAGGAGCTTGGACTGCCGGTCGTTGGCACCGGGACCTTCTCCTGCATCGGTTTTCAGGAGAAGCTCGAGGAGCCACGGGAATACGACCGAGTCAGGATCGATTTGAACAGCCGGTTCGATGACGGACATGTGACTATTGACCTATGGAGCACGGAACGGGTGTGCTCTCCCCTTCCGGTGCCGTCCCTCTCGAAGTTGCCCGGTCAGATGCCCGAGATGATGGCCGATGATTTTAAGGGAGGTGAGATTGACCTGCTAATCGGTATTGACAACCTCTATAGAATCGTGCAGTGGGAGCAAGTCGGTGTGGGTGACGGACTTCGGGCTGTCGCCACCGTTTTCGGCTACGTGATGCACGGCTGCCACACGCACAGTGACAGATGTGAGGATTCTCTGTGCCGAAGGACGGAGAATCTCGCCATGAGGACGACTGCTGGAAGACTTGGCGAGGAGAGCGTCGGTCCACATGACGGCGAGATGACGGACATGCTGGTTGATCCTGTCCTCGAACCGGGGAGAGGACTGACGGTGACCGACTGCGTGCCGGCGTCCCATAAGGAACCACCCATCACTGAAACGGGGGGAGGACGGACAGTGGCCGACTGCGGACTTGCGTCCGATTCGGAGCTGTCTCCGGCCTCAGACGGTGTCGCGTCTCTACATCGAGGGGCTCGATATGACAGAGTTGATCGGGTCCGGCGGCGGCGCCGTCGCCATCGTCGTGTCGATGCTCATTTGACAGATTGCTGGAAGCAGGCCGTGTTGCGTGCCTGGACTCTGTCGCCGCGAGGAAGACCTACCCGTTTACCCAAGGTGGGCGACGTGTTTCGAGTTCATAGCGACAGGCACCGCGGTCGCTGGCCTTTGGTCCTGGCTGAGCGGCGGATCTCTGGGCCTGGCAGGCACGGACGAGCGGACAGGAGATGTGTTCCGGACAACTAGGTGGCCAATGAAGAAGCTGAATCCTTAACTGTTTTGATGATTCTAGACTGAACAGCAGTTGTATTGAAGTGTTTGAAAAATGTAAATGGCCTTATGAATGTATTTATGTGTGTCCTGACCTGAAATGACATTTATCGGGTTGCGCTTGACTTTTCTTTCTTTTTGCAACAGACCCTGTCCTGACGCGTGAGCTCTCGGTCAGCGAAGCAGCGGCATGGTGCTCTGCGGTGCTTCACCGGAACGGTCTTTTGGACTGTCCGGTCACAAGCAATGGACAGATGGACCGGTACGGCGGCTGGACGGTGACACGGCGGCCGGACGCTGATCGCACGAAGACCGGGCGCACTGGACTTTCCCGGAATGGCTCAAGCTGAAGCCAGGCGAAGCGAGTGCGGTGTGCGTGTGCCTAGCTGGACACTGGGCAGTGACGTGCAGTGACGATGTGTACGTGATGCGGCGGACGCGGTGCTGACGTCACGGTGATATCGGTGATTCATTGCGTCCAAGATGGCAGTTCATTTTGTGTTGAAAATTTGTTAATTTTCAAGGGGGGAGTATGTTGTGAAATGCGACCACCTTAGTTTGTGAGCTCCAGCCGGGCCGGCCGGCGACGCGCGCGCGAGTTGTGAGCCGCTGTGGACACGTGACCGGCCGCCTGCGGGCGAATTGGGCGGAGCCGACTGCGGCGGCGGCCGCTGATCAGCGGTCAGTTGGCGTCCTGATCTCGAACCCGTAAGGTACGGCCTTTTGCGGCTGATCTTTGCACACGGGTAGAGTGACGGCGCGACTCAGGCACCGGGAGAGTGCGGCCTTGAGGCTGACTCCTTGCACACCGGTTGCTACCGCTGGTCGGCTAGGCTTCGAGGAGGGGTGGAGGGTCGGCTATCGGTGGCGGCGCGGGGTAACCCGGTGCCAACCCCAAATTGGAACCTTTGTGGTGTAGTGTATTTCTGGATCGGATATCGGTAAGGTCAGCTAATGCTGTTTAACTCCGACAATTGTCGTTTAAAGGGTGGCTAGTCACGGGTTGTATTTAATTGTGCTTATCATCACAATATATCGCGGCACTTCAACGCATTTCTTTAAGTAGTCGGTTGAAACTTACAGTCGATCCGGTCTTAGGGTTTGTCTGAATACAGTCCACACTTTTTATACACGGCCAGAGTCGCAACAGATGCCTTACTTCCGATTGGTCAACTGTAAGAGCATGGGACGTCATCAAAGGTTACCAAACGTTTTTTGCTAATAAATCCTTACATAAAAATGGTACAGCCGCACAAATGGTCTCATTCTGTTCAGCTCGCCAAGGCGCATCGAATGATATGCATGATGACCTTGAAATCACGTGACCTTGAGGTCAAGCGACCATATGCAGCGTGACCTGAGGTCAACCTTTGACCTTGACTTCTCAAGGTCAACACATATATCTTTCGATGCGGACTGACGAGAGAATTACGATGGTACTCGAAGTTTTGGCCTAGCTTGATTACTTCAAAAGTTATTCGTAAAAAACTGTTTTTGCATCTAGAGCCGCTAATTTGGCTATTTTGACCCCTGTGACCCCTGAGTCAACCTCCAAAATGCGGCAAATGCGTCATAGGACACACGTCATTGCTGAATCTGAAGCTGACTCGCAATATAACATAAAATCCCGACCGCAAGCTAACACCGGCCAAATTGCCCCACACCCCCGGCCAAATAACCCTGCTATAGTGGGGCAATTTGGCCGCCTTGCAGACCTTTGTAATACGTCACAATTTCAATATAAGTAATTACTCTATCATTTCAAGTTCACTGTCCAGTAAAGTAAAATGAATACGACACCTGCCAGCGTTGAGAAAATGCAGAAATGTGTCGTCAATTTTAAGTTATATCGTTTTCTAAAAAAAGCGGCCAAATTACCCCACTCTCCCCTACCCAGCGTGACACTGAAGTTGAACTACCCACTTTTGTAACGATGGTTATCATGCCTGTTATAATTCAAATTCATCATCGCTCGGCCACCACCATGGCTCCACGTAAATTAAATGCGCCGTCGCAAGGCGGTGTCGTTTTTGCTGCGTTTTTGTTAATTGATGTGTTATCTACACCCGCCCACAATACACACGGTAATGTGGTGATACACACACAGCTGTTCTAATAAGGGCCATTAGTGACGGTGTGAGGCGTCTGTGGCGCCTCTGTGACCGCGGACACACACCTGGCAGACACCTGACGGCTTGATCTGGCCACACAGTCAATGTCGCAGTGGCTATTGCGGGTCAGGATCCACCGAGGCTCTACCCGGGGGTCGTTGTGGTCGGCCGGTGCCGGCGGTGCCCTCCGGACTGAGCACAGTGCTCACTGCTCACCTGCGGCTCACATCACCTGTCCCCGTACCCGCCGACCGTCCCAGTTCATCGCCACCCATCACCCACCAGCCCTGCTGACCGTCTCAAGCGGACCCAGCTTTCTCCGCGGGCGGTCCTCGGCCTGCGCCCTGCCGTCGCGCGGTCGGCCGGCCGACCCGGTGACCTGCGCGTCCAGGAAGCGGCGACAGCGGCCGGGCGGGGTCGGCGCGCCGCTCAGCGCGGCCGCCGCATCCTTCCGCTGCCGGCCGGACGCGGCGCCGGGCTATGTGGAGCGGCGGCAGCCACCAATCAGCGCCGCCCGCGACCGGCCGGCCGCGCGGCGCGGCGCGCGCTGTCACCTGGCCGGGCGCTGGCGGCGGCGCGGCGCGGCGCCGGCGGCAGTGTGCGCCGCTCCGTGATGGTGATCGCCCGTGTCCCCGGTGTTGCAGGGCCCCGAGCCGGCGGCGAGATGGTCGGAGCCGACGACGAGCGCACCGACGGACCGGCCGGCGCCAACGAGATCGTCAAATGTGAGTACCGATCGACGAGGACGGCAGTGTGGACCGTGTACTGTGTGGCGTGTACCGTACCCGCGGGACTCTGCGCCTGAGGCAGCGGAGACTGTGGGGCTTCTGTTGAGTCCGGTCTCACGTTTCAGCCCATCGCTACACGACAATACCGTAAGCGTTTTTGACTTCAGCGAGCTCCTATCGCGAGTTTCCATCGGCGGATCGTGCGGGTTTTTCCATTTTTCTTTGTTTAGTGATCGTTCGCACGAGGTCCATTTTTGGTGCTGGTTCGCTCGTAACGACAGCCGGTTGTCACTCCGTAACGTGAGCCGTGGTGACGCCGGTGCGGCCGTGACGGTCGCGCAGCTGGTGTGTGCCGCCGGCGGCGAGGTCGGCGGTGACGCTGTGACATGACGCCGGCCGGGACGCCGCTCGCTGGGAGGCAGCTGGGGAGCGTCGGTCGGCGGCCCGGCGGCAGCTGGTGGGGCAGCTCCCGACCCCGGGGGAGCGGCGGGGAGGGGATGACTGGGGGAGGGTGCAGACGGCCTGCAGGGACCGGCTGGGGCACGGACCGGCAGGGGAGCCGGCACGGACCGGCCAGGGTCGCCCTGTTACCGGGCCGCCGCTGCTGCACGGTAGCCGGCCGGATTAACCACCGTACCCCGGCGCCGGCTGCCCGGGCCCGGCAGCTGCTGCGGTCCCAGCCGACACGCCAACCCTGATCCTCTCCACCAGCCGGGCCCGGCTCCGACGGCGAAACCTGCGGCCCGACCACCGGAACGTCGCAGCGGGACCGGCGACACGGAACGAAGCGCTCCGAGACGCTCCGACCGCGGGACTTTCTACCCACTGCGCTCGATCCGTCTCCCTCACCCGGCTGTGAGCCGATAGCTGGTCCAGAAGTGGTCTTGTGGTCTCGTCAGGCGGACCAGGAGACCGTGAGTCCCCACAGCTGGTCTCGTGACGCGTTCTCACGGCTCGACTGCCATGCCACCGCTTAGATCACCGCTCCGTAATGAACCCCGCCCTCCCCGAATCTCAGCAAACTCGTGTTTGTCTCTTCACTGCAGCGCTCCATGGGGTGATTTCATAGCCATGACGTCAGATTCAGCAAAGCTCAGGGATTTTTACGTCCGTCCTTCGGTGTGATTCGTGTGCACTTATGTCCATTCAGCACTGTGCAGTTTGCAGCGTGTACTGTAGTCCTCCCTATCCAGCGTGCCGTCCATGCTGCACGCTCGTAATTTGCCATATATGCCGTTAATTTTCCACAGTCCACACAGACAAACAAGTCTGCAGTCCGCCCGTTGTAACTGCGCGGTACCGTTTTGATATTCGTTTGTGGGGGCTGCAATGGCCGCGTCCTGCAGTGCACGTTGGTGCTAGCCATAGCGATTGAGCAGACAGGTCATCCCAGAAAGAAGGCGTATCAGTGTAATTGATTGAGGTTATCATGACCCCTTCACTCGGTAGTCATCAGATGTTTCAGTAGATGTCGCGGGTTCAACGATCGTCGTGACGTATATTGATACCGTTTCTTATAAAATGACCGCATAGAGCGCTAGAGAACAGTCAGTAGATGCGCAAGTTATCGACCTTAGGCTTGTCAGAGGGATTGGAGAAGAGTGACTCGTTGGCCTACTACGGGGTGGGGGAGCCGCCGAGTGCACCCTCCTCCGACACGCGGTGGATGAGTCACCGCCACAGCCCTCGAATATGGCGGCGGCGGCGGCGGTGTGCTGCCATGTCTGCCCTGAACGGCGTTATATACGGCCATATTTGGGCCGTCGGCAGGTCTCAGCCCGGTTCCTTGGTCCTCTATATAGAGGGACAGGGACGGACGGCCGGCGGCCGAATGTGATATCGCCTCGCCTGGCGCTCCGTAACGGGCGTCACGGCCGGCGCCGTGTGACGGTCAGGCAGCCGCTCCGTAAAGGTGGCCGTCACGCACACCGTCACGGGTCGTGATGAGCTCCGCGGCGGCCCGAGCGGCCCTAATGAGGTCGGCCGGGTGGTCAGCGGTCGGCCGGGGTCGGTCAGCGAACTGTGAGTGGTGTGACTGGTGACGGTGGTGCTGATGGGACTGGACACTGGTGATGTCCATGCCGGCACCGCTGTCAATGTTGGTGCCTTGTTAGTATCGTTGTAGGTATTGTCAGCCGATGCTGTTTGAATGACATTACAACGGGTCCACATTGTTCTGTGGTGGCTGCGAGCCTAAAGGGTTGTATTTTATACATAATTACACATGCTAGTCAGTGAATCAGCTCAGCTTGAGCCGTGAATCGTCAGAGCTCCCACCTAGCTGATCCAGTTTCCCGGAAGGTCTTATCGCTCTACGGGTTAATCTGCGGAGAGTATGTGGCCGCCACTGCCGGCGGGCAGGTCCCGCTGACCGGGAGATGGGTCTGATTGAGCCGTCCGTCGGTCCGTCCGTCCGCCCAGCCGGCGGGTGTGGAATGCAGATGTGTGTCTGACTCTCAGCTGACTGGCACCGACGGCCGATTGCTGATCCGGCGGCCTCTGATGGTGGATGACCGACCTCGGCTCCAGCGCTGCCGATGGAGGCCCAGATACTGTGTTATAACCAGACGGGGTGGTCCGGCCGGCTGGACGGCGACCCCACTCCGGTAAACCGCGCCGTACAGTGTCCACCAGCTGTGACGGCCGGCCACCCCGCTCTTCCTGCAGCACCGCGCCGTGTTATAGGTATCGGTGTGCGGCGGCACACCGTTCTGCCTGGCCGCATATAGGGCGAGCCGACCACCGAAGATGGGTGAGAGTCGCAGGCGACGGAGCTTCACAGATTGGGAACCGCTGAGCTGACCGACCGCAGTCCGTCCGTCCCTCCCCGGTCTCCCGAAACGCCACGGCACACCGCTGTGACGCGTGACGATCCGTCAGCCGAGGGTGACGCCGTGCTGTGACGGTCGGCGCCGGCCGGCCAACAATGGGCCGTGATAGCTGTGTGATAGCCGTCGGTCGACCACGACCCCGTGCGCCGGATGCATTATTCATCGGCGTCGGCAACTGTCATCGCGTCGCGCCGCCGCCGGTTTGGGCTGCGCGAGCACAAGCGAGCTTGGTGTGCCGCTCTGGAGTCTGGAGTCCTGGACCCTACCTACCCTTGCACCGTAAACCGCCAGCTTAGTCTATCACCACCCCCGCCAAGCCGGCGGCGGCACGGCACGTGCTGCATTTGCGGTGCATTAGCGCCCCTCAGCCGCCCAGACTGACAACGCCGACCGGGGACGCCAAACAGCCGCGAAAGGGCCGCAAAAACCTGCAAACTGCTGATGGTCGTTAGCTGGAACTGAGCAGACCGTGTTGGTGTCGTGACGAAAATAGCTGGGATGGTGTAGCGAAAGTGGGCGGGAGCAGGGGCATCGCTGATGCAGGTTTCGAAAGAAACGACGGAGTTCACCGTTTTTGCTTTTCACTTGAAGCGCTTGTCCTATAAGCATAATAAGCATATGCATCTGCAGTCTTGCAGTCATGTGCGCTGTCAAAGGCCAAATGGTTTGTCTTTTCTGCCGGCTGGCGGCCAGCTGCCGCTGCCCGGAAACAGGGCGGGTCCTGTGGCACCGATGTCGGCACGTGCCCCCCCTTCCCTCCCCCCTCCCCCACACACACCGGCGGGTGGCACTGCTGACATATCCAATCAGTGCCGCCCGCTGACAGCGCATACATCGCCGTTCAAACACGGCTGATGACGTCATTAATGCCGGACCTCGCGGACCTCGTCATTAATGCCGGACCTCCTGGACCTCGCGGTCCGCCGCAGGACCAGCCGCGTTTGAACGATCCGATTTGACCCCGAGAACGGCCTGACTTCCGGGGCTGTCGGTATAGTGGGTCGGTAATTGAAGGCCTGGAGCAGGGGCCGTTGGAGCCAGAATGCCAAAACCAATTTTCAGCGGCCCTCGTCAACATGGTTCGTAACAGAAGGCGCAGTCACCGTTGCTTGGCTCTCAGAAGTAGCGGAAAGATGTCAGTCACATGGTTATTGGTTATGCTGCTTATGAATCGCCCTTTCGTGCAATCGACACGGATGGTCGGAGCCAAGCCGACACTCGACCTATGGAATGGTTGTCAACTGTCACCTTCGGTCTCATCGATGGACGGCCACAGCACGCTGCTCCCAACAGCCAACTCTCCAACCTGGGTTCGACGGGTCCGACGCTCGGAGCGCCGCGCCAATTCAGTCCGCTCTTCTGCCGACAGGCGGCGGTAGTGAGAGCCGGCCGTGTGTGTGTGTGAACAGAGCAGGGCGCGCTCCGGGGACCGGCGCAGTAGCCGCACATAACGCCCGCTCAGCTGTCGCCGGCTGGCGGCACACGCCGCGGTATGTGCGGCTAGTGGCCCGGTCCCGATAGCGCACCCCTAGTTGTTGTTCACACACCTCTCTCCGGTCCTGAACCGAGCTAACTAACCGTGCCCATCCGTGTCGGCTCCGTTGTCCGGCGCCCAACTCTGGGCGATTCTGGGCGCACGGGGTCGGCGTGAGACAGGAACAAGGGTGCGTCTGGGGACCAGCTCACTAGCCGCTCATAACACAGCTGCCGGCCTGCCGGCCGATGGCGTCACACATCCTCGGCTGGTGCTCGTCGGCTATGTTATGGGTAGCTACTGAGCTCCGTAACCGAAGCACCAATATGGCAAGCAACGTTTTCGCCGCACCCGGCGACGACTGACTCTCTCTCGCCCGTCTTCTTTTTCTTCTAAGAGACTAGTCTATAAAGACGTTTATAGCCCGCGTGCAGATGCGGGTAGGTGCCGGGTGGGATTGGCACAAGCGAACTGTGAAAAAATGAAGATGAAAATGATAAAAGGCATTTTTACTTGCATTGGAAGTGAGTGGCGCGCCGTGCCGGGTAGTAGAAGAGGCCCTCTCTCCCTTTGCTGCAAAAACGAAATACGCACAGTGGATGGCGCTTTTTGTGGCGAAAAATATTAGGCATTTTGATTATTTTCCCCGTTTCATGATAAATCAATCGTCAATGGCCAGCGGCGTATTTAGA